GAGAGAGAGAGAGAGAGAGAGAGAGAGAGAGAGAGAGAGAGAGAGAGAGAGAGAGAGAGAGAAAAATGTTAGTTGGCGCGCAGACAACGGGCAAATGTGTTTGAATCGGGCGCTGATTGACTCCAGATCTAGGCACGTCTACTGCAAGTGTCGTCTCGACTTGCATCGAGGAACACTTTCTGGACCACGGGCAGCTGCCCTTTCCTGTGCGCTTTCGGACTTCTCCTCTTCCCTGACTTGGTGCCCCTGCCCCCACGCCGTTTCCATTTCAAAACTTACAACTAAAGGACTGCTCAAGGATTGCAGCCTCCTGAGGGCAGTTACTGGGCCCCACATGCACCCGTTCACAGCTACCCAGGCCACGGGCCTGACATATCCAATTSACTTACCGTGAGGGCACAGGTGAGCAACCTGTAGTTTGTATATGCTTGATTGATAAAGGACGCCTTATTGGTGAGGTTTAGAAGTAGGGTGATTGTTGCATTAAAAAAAAAGGAGTATTTGTGTTTATGTGTTGAGATTAATGTGTGTGTGTTTGTGTGATACTTAGGGTGTTTGTGTTTATCACATCTGTTAGTGTTGGAACGTGTGGGATTTAGGTAATTTGTATGACATTATTGTATTAGATATTTGACATACCTTGATTCATAGTTCGCGTCGAGGCTGGTGGTCCTTGCATCTTGGTCCATATGTCGTATATAGGCGTCGTTCGACACTCCTCAGCGCGTCCTCGGGCTCCGAGGACRAATCCTCGGAGTTTTTTTTTTTTTTTTGGAGGTGTCGTTCTACCTGTCCTCGGAGAATCGCCGCGAGGACGAATCCTCGGGGCCCTCCCGAGGCCAGTTTCACTAGATTATACACGACCGCGAGGGGATTGTCCGACCTCCAATTCGGGATGTCCTTGTAGGAGGCGTGGCGGTCCAGCAGGTGGACGACGACAATACATCACGGACCCTGGAAAGAAAATCGCGAACGCGGGAACGGCCCCGTTCAAAATTCAAAATTCGAATTTGCGTCTTGCGGAGCGACGGTGTGGCGTCGCACAGGAGGGTAGGCAAGGGGGGTAGTGCACGCCTCATAGGGGTTCGGTTGCCATCGCGTTGCGTACTTTAGCGGCGCCGCACCGCCACTGTCTCAAGTGTGGTTGACGCGGCGAAACGAAGAGGGGTATCGGCAGTTGCGCTCGCCACGTGGAGGCGCTCGACGGTTCCATACTTCAGCGGCGATGGGCGGACGCTCCAATCGGGTTGGAACATCGTTGAGCACGGTTGTCTTCCTGACTTGATTGCAAGCGTCTTCAATCGTGGTGGCAGACGTAGACGCAGCTGGGTGGCAGTGGACGTTGTTTTTCGTGTTGGAAGGGCGTAATGGAGGGCTGCGATGGGGATGGCCGTGCTGTGCTGTCGAGGACGAAGAAGACAACTGTCACGGCGGCTGCGGTTGACGTTGTTCGTCGATTCCAAGTCGAGAGGGTGGCTGGGCGCATGAAGGCAACGCTTTCGAGGCGGCGGCAGAGGCTTCTACTGCAGAGGGTGTTGGACACCCCGGACTGCATTACCACTTCGGAGGCCGTGGTTCAGCTGTGCGCTGCAATCGGGTAAGGTGTGCTTCCTCGGGCGACGCCACGTTGGTGGATAAGGCGGAGAGCTGGCGGGACTTGGGAGGATTTGCAGGTGTGCGATGACGCGACAGACGACTACTTCCGGGAAAAACTCCGCATGTCCAGGAGAGTGTTCATGGAGATCACCGAAGCCTGTGCGACTCATTTGCAATAACAGGTGACGTTTTACGGGGAGCCATTTCAGCCGGAGCAGATCGTCGCATACACGCTGTACAGGTGGGCTACAGGAGAGTCGTACGACAACAGCACATCATCCTTCGGCATGGGAAGGGCTTCCGGAGTTCGAGCTGTGTGCAATGCGACAACCGCTATGTTGAGGGTGTACAGGGACAAGATATCGTGGCCGACAGGGGTGCGGAAACACGTCGTGCTACGGGCGTTTCTGGACAAGGGTTTTCCCAACCGCCATGGAGCAGTTGACTGCACACACATCTACGTGGACAAACCGGCGAACGCGCCGAGTGTGAACTACTTCGACCGCAAGCACCGTTTCTTCGTCATTGCGCAAGTGGTGGTGGACCTGGATCTGCGCGTGCTTGATATGTTCGTTGGATATCCGGGGAATTGCCACGACATTAGGGTGATCCAGTTGTCAAGTCTGTCCGGGCGAGCGGAAGAGGGAATGTTGTTTCGTAAGCCTCCTGTCACGCTGCCGGGAGGGGTGAGGACGAACGGATACATCTTGAACGACAACGGGTATCCTCCTTCTGAATGGGTGGTGGTTCCATATGGAGGAATCAATCAGCACCCAGACGAGGAAAGGTTCGACACGAAGCAGAAGGTCGCAAGATTGGTTGTGGAGAGGGCGTTCGGGAGGTTGAAGGGGATGTGGAGGCTCTTCCTGCGGACGCACAAGACGAACCTCGACACTCTACCGCAACAGTTCACGGTCGTCTGCATTGTCCACAACATCCTGCTCGACACTGGTATCGAGTTTGACGAGAATCTGTTGTGGGAGGTCGACGAAAACGGGGTGTGGCGCCAACTGGACCTGGGATTCATCATCCCTCGCAGCCAGTGACGATGTTGACTTCGACGCACGCGGCACACGCGCTCCACAATGCATTGGCGGAGCGAATGGAACACATGTGATCCTGCCTACCGCCTSCCTATTTCTCTYGTAGAAGACTTCTTCGTTGACGTCGTGTTCCRCCGTCATCGATTYACAGCGCTTGCRTCTTTCRCTTACGCGTGCAATYGCTTCGGAGGGTTTGCCGTCGTGGACGGGTTGTTTTTAGGTGTTTGTTGTTGTAGTCGACAGTAGACTGCTTGTCCAGTTCGTCGATCATTGGCAGTGACGCGGCTTCATTGTCTTTGTAGTCGCCGCAACGGTAGTGTGGTTGTTGTTTCGGTCTTCCTTGTTAGTATAGTGGGGGGGGGGAAAGGCGGGAGGTGAGGGGCGACACGAAGCACATCGTCAGCCCGCTGTTTTGCATGCGCTTTACAACGCTGTTTCTCTTCAAATTCAACGATATGCGCTTTTTATGATGTTTGTGTAAGGACGTCTTCGTGTGTCCGACTGCTATCCTTTTTTCGAGAACACATGATTTTATCGAGTACATGAAACGTATGTCATGTATGTCGTCTGCACTTCTCAGCGTTCACTAAAGTCAGTCGGCGAAGCTTCGTTCTTCCACTAACGACTTACATGCAGAAGAAAAAAAAAAATGAAAGAGAAACTCACGACATATTGGTTATTTCGGCAACTGCACGGTGGCCTTCCTTTGATTTTTTTTTATTTTTTTTTTTTGGCTTCTGTTTGGTGCCGATGATCATCACAATTTAGCGATGCCATTATGAACGGAAAGATGGCCAACAAAAATTAAAAAAATGATAATGAAAGTGCGTGGACAGGTTCCTTCCTGTTTTTATTGTTTTCTTTTGTTTTCTTTTGTCTTCTTAGGTGCCGGCAATGATAACGATGGCGCGATTCCTAAGATCGAATAAAGGGCCGCATACATAAGAAGACGTGGACGAGAATGCGATGACCATTAACGCATGCGTCACATGATAAACCCACTAGGAAAAGAAAAAAAACAGTATTGTGTGAGCAATCGTAAGCATTCAAACACACGCCGTTGGCACAGAAACATAAATATAAGGAAATTCATTCAATAACATAAGAATGTTCAGGAGGCGATCCACTTTTCTCCTAACTATCCACCCTCCAAATGACCCACACAAAAGACGGAGGTGTCGTCCATTGAGCTAAGATACCCTTTTGTGGAGCACAACTGTAAAGTGTGCTCCAATATAAAAAAAAAAAAAAAAAAAAAAAAAAAAAAAAAAAAAAAAACGTTCACAACACATCTACTTCGATGCCATCTGCTGACGTCGCCACACCATTGGACCGCGCACCTTGCTCCCGCTCAACCACCAACACCCATCCGCCCGTGCACTAACGTGTGCAGTTGTAGGCGCACAGTTCGTCGTTTCTTGATCCCACGCGCCAATCCGTCGACGATCCGCACCTCGCCGCTGCCTTACGGACAAACCCACGTGTCAACCGCCCTCATCTCCATCGTCATCCGCCGTGGGCCCGCTGCAGATCCAGCCGTGTTTTGCGGCTTCTGCTACGTTCTTTAGGGCCGCGTTTTGCCCGAACACCAACCCGCAATCAGACCATTTCGGAATGCAATGCGGGTAATCTCTGAGCGTCAGGTGGGCCTTCCCTAGACGATCCAAGACAAGGTTGGTCGTGTCGACGATGTGTCACCGCCAGTTGAAGTTGTAGGACCCCGCCGCTATCATTGTGGGTTTGGCGAGTTTTGGTTGTCATCAAGCTGATCCTGGAGCTCCAGTTGCTGCAGCAGTTGGTAAATTTTCATCTCCTGCTGATGTTTCTGGCTGCTGACAATTTAGAATATTCTTGAGATTTCTTACCCAGGTAAAAAGTTCGTTGTTAAACCAATCAACTGCCTGTTATAAGTGCTGCTTTTGCATCTGCCAATACTTCCAGCAGTCTGTCATATAACTTTGAAAGGTTTTCTGTTGGAGGATACAGGTATTAAGTTTGTAAGAGCCCGGTCCCCGGTTGGGTTTCTTCCGAAAGGGCAGAATGGTCGTGCACATTTTGTGATCAAGTCCCTGGTATGGGCTTGCAGGCAAGGTTGCTGCGAGAACCAGGGATGCTTCCATGTCTTCGAAGATGAGAATCAGGTCGATTTTGGATCTCGCCTGGCTTTCAGTGCCTGTCTTCCGTAAACATGAATAGTGTCTGGTATCTGGGTTAAGTTTTCGGAAGGAATCGAATACTTTGAGTGACAGGCACAAATCGTTTATCATCTGCTCATCCTCCTCGATATACAATGGGACTGGGGAGGGTATCCGCCATCTATCCTGCCATCGGTCCGGGGCAGCATTGCAATCTCTTGCTATAATGACCGGAACCCCTTCCGGTATTTGCGCTTTAATATCCTCGAAGAAGGTTTTTATCTCATTCACTGTGTTGGGAGCGTATATACATAGTATACATACGACTTCTCGTGTAACCAGGACATATACCCACCTACGTCCCTCCTAGTCCATCACCCAGTGGACCGGGTCTGCCCTGGACTCGGGGGGAACCCAGATGGCCACCCCAACACTTCCGCGCTTCGGGGCGTGGGCCCTGAAGGCCTTGTACGGCCAGATCATCTTGTGGATGCGGTTGTGCTCCGGGGTGTCCATCAGTTGTGTTTTCTGGACGCAGACTATATCTGGCCAGTTTCTACCCCTCACTCCCTTCATCAAATCCCAGATTGCATTTTGTTTCTCTGGTTTGCAGGAGGCTAAGCCGTTCACATTCAAAGAGTGTAGGTCCAGATCAACTGCCCTCCTCCATGTGTTCCAAATGCGGTCCTTGTCGTACACCGCCCTAACATGATCTATCTTGCTTGCGCTGTTCATTGTTTATTCCTGTGTGTTATTACCTTACAGGCGGATCCATGGCAGATGATCCCAGTCCCAGTCCACACCTTGTCGAAGGAGAGAACATAAACATCTTTGAACATCCTGTGTTGTCCAGGTGTCGCTGCGTTCAATTTTGATTGTTGGTAGATTCAGCAGTTGGGCATGGGTATGCCATCTCATGCCCACCTCCTTGGTTGGGTCGTATCACATATATACGTCCTTCTGCGCTATTTTGTTAGGGCCTGATGCAACCAAAGCTATGGCCTCAGCCCCCGGCGGTAGAGATTCCACAATGTTCATTTCCAAATGCATCTGCAGAATTTTTGCCGCGGATTCCGATCTATCAAAACAAACCCCAATTCCCCTTTGTGGCATGCTTTCGACGGGTCATACAGGTGAACCGGATCGGCCCGCAATAGCATCCTCCTCACGTCCGCTTCACACTAAGGCCATCCTCATCTGCGATCGGAAAGGGAGGGAGGTCGCTATGGCGGATCGATGTAAGGTTCGAGCACAAGCAGTTACTGACTGTCATATTCAGGTTGGCAAACGTCGCCTCCATACAACTCTCAACTTGTCCCACTGCGCCCAATMYTSCTAAATAAACCCAAGYTGCTRACYGTCTTGACTCCAACCAATTGTCCCCTTGATASACGGCGATGGCCAGCGRCARARAGATCGGGRGGAACAAATAAATCCGYGCACCTGAYGTCCCTSGTGGCYTGCKCATMTGCCRGGTGAACGGAGACATTGACACATCACACTTGCGCTGGCAGGGAAAGGGGGAAGGAGGCCGCTGGCGATCTTGCACGCGCTCCAAAAGCAGGGATTGGCAATTAGTCAGGAGGGGAAAGAGTGTATCAGCACACTCATGCACTCAAGCAGACAACCAATCACCSAACTACCCCRRTTGTGCACTCATGCGCTCAGCGAGACGAAGACACCACACACCTTCAATACTCATACATCCATAGACTTTCWGACAGYGAAGCATTCAASATTTATAGACARTCGCAATCATAGYYGTGCACARGACTGAGTATCCAGACTWAGTSTTTAGCACACACAACCAATGGACAAAGCAACGATGGAGAAGAAGTGAGTCCCTCGMTATTAAAAAATCRCAACAAASTTGGCACTCCGCGTGCACATCCACCATACCCGACTGAAGGCAAGCCAGCCATAGCCACAAGGCCCTGCTGCTGGCGACATTCCCCTATTCACCACTGCTCAATCCCTCCGTCCGCCTTACCCTAAGTCTAGCACTAATTCCACCCCACACCGTTATTCCGCCCCTTCCTTGGGCACGTCAAGCCTATTCGGCTTGGCAGTCTTCACGCATAGCTTGTGCAGTATTGCAGCTGAGTTCAAAGAGAGCGAGAGAAAGGGGCTGAACAAAGTTGTAGCATGGAAGGCGATGAGTCACCAGCATGCAATGCAGATAGCGAGGGGTGTAGATGAGGAKGAGAGAAGGAAGAAGGTTCCMGAAGGTAAGAAGGCAGGACGATCAAATTTTTTGTTSACTTGGGGTGGTCGTTCAARCYGCGCGATTGCTCGCCCTTACGGCTTGATCCGACCAAACCAACTGACCACCAATGAATCACGCCAGCAGGCAAGGAGATGATAGGACAAAGGATCTAGAGGAAGAYGAAGGGTTACACGGAGATGAARGATAACAAGAAAGGAAGTTGGCGTGCACGCGCAAAGTGGGAAGCGAGCTTGCGTGGCACTGAAGAATTCAAAAATGCCACACATGCTCCTGCGGATGCAATCGAAATTTGAAATTGTCGTCAACCGAACTCATAATTGTTTCCTTAAATCCTTCGTGGTCGCTAATCGGCCACGTGAGACTACTTTCAACAAGGACAAGGGCAAATCCAAATGATGCATGCAGATGGACCTCAGAAACTCGAGATGGACCCCATTTTTGTAGTCAGCCAAGATTCACACTTCGGGGCTTACTTCGGGGTTTTATCCAAAGGGTACGTGAAGCCGCGATGTCCAGACCTTGGATTATCACACCCGTGAGACCTGCTGGCTGTTTTTGGAAGGGCCCAACCATCTCCAAGGGTCTGTGCCGGCAGGCGTCTCYGGTGCGAGTCTGGYGAGCTKCTCTAAGGCRAACGATTCYCATGGGAGGYCTGGTGAGCATGTTAACCGTTTTAGCTATTGCAGTSAGAGAGCCACAACCTGTGTTTCACGGTCTAGAATTCCTTGCCCCCCTTGCAGCCTTTGTTGCACCACTTAGTCCCCGGCTACCCTGTTAAACACATGGGGCGTTTCGTGATTGCAGCSCYAGAGGAAGACCACCAGCTGYTGTCKTACRCCCCTTGCAGCCAGGGCCTTTCCAAAGATAGAAGTGCGCTTGTCCAGCCAGTCTTTCAGCTTTTCCATAGCCCGGATCATGACCCATGCATCGTTTGTTGATGGTTTGCCCATAGTCGACAACTGACCACCTAAAATGCAAACAAAGGCTTCAAGGGATTGCCATGACACYGGTGGGTCCTCTGGTSATCCTTCCCCGTCATGGTGCATCCACCAGCCCAGCGTTTTCCTACCCCAGTTTACTGCCATATCCGACACCAAGCAAAACCTGTCCATAAAAGACTT